ATTGGATCGGAAATTCTTCGCTAAAAAAAGAAAAGTGATACACTTTATGGATAAATGCACAGCGCATAGTGACACAACAGCAAAGTTGCAGCCGATGGACCAGTGTATCATAAAGTGCTTCAAACAGTCTTATCGTAAATGGCTTGTCAGAAAAATGATCTTAAATATTGTAAGCATTTAGAAGATTTGTAATTAATAAGCATTAATTAAATAATCCGACAATATTTTGAAAGTCCAAAACCGAAACTAACGGTAAGTCGAACTTCCGATATGTCGAAGTTTTTCGTCAGTCCTATCAGATTCGAGTTATCGCGAATTCACTGTATTGATTTACTTAATATATAAAAAAAAATAAAGGTTTTAGACTCAAGAATTCGATTTTGAAAAAAATTATTATGATTGATTATTACCTCCCATTTTAATAAAAATATAAAAAAGAAATAGCCAAAATGAAAAAACTAGCCTAACTATAAACATAATGTAACTTAGAATAATTGAAGATAACTTCAACAAATATATATATTATATATATGTGATTAAAACAGGACAGTATAGAACATATTTACTGATAAACAGTTATATATATTTACTGATATAAACAGACAGTATATATTTACAGATAAACAGTTACATTTTTATTATTCATGTTCTATTGATTGCAGCCAAAAATTTTCAGATCTTCTTTGTTAATTAAGGGTCTCTATATATGAATTTCTGTCAAATGAGAATACACTGACAGCAATGAAAAACGTTTTTTGACCGTTATCTTTTTATGGCATGCATATAGAAATATTTATAAATTTTTTCAAAAACTATTTTTTCATTTTTCCTGGAAAACTAACCATTCTTTTAAGTCATTAAAATTTATATTAAAAAAATACCTTCATCCTCAAAGGGAGAAAGACTAGGATTTGGCGTTTCTACAGTTTCAGATGCAGTGGATTGAAGTGAAAATTTTTCAGCTTCTTCCTTCGACGTAAATGACTTGTAGCGAGCATTTTTATGCAACTTCAGCAATTTCAGGGCATCTCCTTTGTTATCAAAAACTAAAGGTACATCGTCTAAAAATATAATTACATTGTTATCACATATTTATTTTTACCATTAAAAACATAGCATGAAAAATGCAGGTTATTGAAGTTAAAACTTAGTAACAAAAAATATATATTGTTATCGTATCATATTTCAAAGCTATTTACTTATAGTTATTCTGTAAAGTTTGTTGCAGTATAGTACTTTCCCCACCAATGAAATTTATTTATTTTTAGAATTTTAGGACACGGCATATCAGTACTCTTTTCTTAATAGTCAGCTATGTCTTCCATAAAGTGGCTTGCTTTAATTCACAAACTTGAAAAATGAAATACTTTCACATCATTTTCATATAACCTAGATAAATCTTAGTATATTATTTTTTTTTCTATTCAATAACAACTCATAGCATTCCTAATCTAATCAGCACCAAGTTAATATATATATAACCTCAACTATTATATAACCTCAACTATTATCAATCCATTAATGGATGGAGTTTTTTTTTTCCAAACTTTATATATGTATATAAATATATGTATACATATCTTATCTACATGTACATATCTATAAAGTTTGTATACGCACATATATATAGTAAGATCTTAAAATTAATGGTGGTCCTATGGTATTGGACTATTAAAATCTTACTCAAGCCACTATGATAAGCAATTGATTATCTTCAATCAAGTGTATTATGATTTAGATTTTGGTTTTCTGATATAATGTTTCGGTGTGTGTTACTGTAACAAAATAGCATGTGCTTCATCATATAAAAAATATTCCACAATCCTTAATTTCCTCATGAACTGTTATCAACCAACTACTAGATAAAAGTCTTTTCCAAAATTTATATACTATGTATGTGCAGTGGAAAGTTTCTTTTCCGGAATCATCAGGACATTGGCAAGAAAGGAAAATAGAATTTTCTGGATAATAGGTTTTTAACGGGAATATAAAAACGTGTGCTATTCATTAGATCATTCATGTGTTAATCAATAGTTATAAAAATAATTAATGTAAATTTTCACGTAATAACATTTTTTAATGGCATTTAATTAACTAAAGAATGTTTAATATAATGAAATAACAATAATCACTGATAAAACAATAAAAAAAAAAGCAGAAAATAAGTTAAAATTTCTCTTTCATGTGTAAAGACACGTTTTCTTCCGCTTTTTTTAATTTTTGATATGAATTATTAGCAGGGTAGATATTCAGGTAAAGATAGCAATTAAAAACTAACTTCAAATAATAAAAAAATAAAAAGAATTGGGTAGATTGCTTAGTGAAAACATTGATGACCTATATAAACAGTTTGCTCGTACTGAAAGCTATAATTTGTACTATGAAAAAAGAGTGTTCATGTACTAAAGGTAGAAAACATTTAATTCCTCCTTTTTACAAAATCCTAAGGTATTTTTAAACTAGAAACTGGAACTACTTACCATCTTTAGACACATCCTCCCCATCATTACTTAAATCAGACTTTTTTGGTATGTTGACAGCATAAAAAAATGTCTTAGAATCAGTTTCAGGTGATTTTATTTCAGGTTTATCTATAAAAAAATTTTTAAAAAGAATTTTTTTATAGGATATTCGACATACAAGAAACTAACAGAAAAAGATTCAAATTTCAAAAATACAATTTTTATACAATTTACAAACTAAATGTCATTATTTATTTTTTTAAATACATTTAGGTAATAGGCTTTAACTTTATTTTAAATGTGCTTTTAAATACTTCTATTTTAAGAATTTATGTATGTATGGCAGAACAAAAAGCTGGATCAATCCAAGTCTCTAATATTTTAAAAGACAAACTAGTGTTTTTTTTTTTTTTTTTTTTTAGTGGAAGTTACAAATTTTACTTTTGCGATATATTATGAGATGTGTCATAAGTTGATAATCCTTCATTTTGAGACAATATAACTCATATCAAAAAGAAATTAGGTTACATTTATTGGATAATAGTTGAATTTTATAATTTAAATTGCTTTAAAAATAACTTCTTTAAATTTTTATTAAAACATCTTAATTATTTTTTCACTTTTATTTCCTAACATATTTATACAAACAAATACCAAATCGTGTGAACGTGGCTAAACAATAACAAAATATGTAATATAAATAAGAAATTAATTACACATATGGATTAAACTTTAAAATATACATAAAGAAATAAATAATACCTATACATTGATCTTCACCAGATTCTAATGAAAGGAAAGTATTCTTTCCAAAAAACAAGTTTCTGACATCAAAAGACCTCACAGAGTTAATAAAACCTGAATTTTCTGATAGATGCAAGTTTGAAAGTTGTTCAGTTAGCATACTGATTGGGGATAATTCCTTGCTTTGAGCACTCATTTTTGTATTTTGGTGTCCATTCATTTCACATTACATCAATTTAGCAACACAAAGGTTAGTCGCCTAGCAGAAAGGTAAATACAAATATTGTTAAATAGCTATAAGAGTGATTGTATCAATATAACATTATATTAGTTGTAGCAAATAAAGTAAATATATAAATTTACTTCATTTGATTATCATAAATAAATATATTCAATATTATAAATACATATTTCTAAATAAATAAAGTTACTTTTCTTACTTGTGATAATTATTATTATTATTTATCCCATGCAATAACAATTAATTCCTTAGAATAACGATTTTCATTAGCTTTGGATTAAGTTCTACATACTTGGAGCAATTATTTTACTCTATCTTAAGTTCTAATTGAAGATTAGTTTTGTTTTGTCTTTTTGATGTAGCATAGATAACTTAGAAAAGATACAAACTTAAGTTTATAAATGAAAATACGCTTGCTGTGGATCAAATTTGGCAACATTTTTAGATAAAAGATTCTCTTAACACTAAGCAGCTCGGAGCTCAAGAACAGTTATAAAGAATTAGAGCATGATAGAGTGGTATAAAGCAATTTCATGCAAAAATGCTTGCGTAAAAAAAACTATTTCATCAATAAAATTGTTTAAAGTGTACATAATCCAGAATTCTCCCTAGGAATAGAAAAGAGCAAGAAGCTGCCTCTCAGAAAAGGGCACTTTGAGTTTTAAAATGGCACTCACAGCTGTAAAAATTTATCAAAATGTGTAGTATTATGTAATAATTGAATTTGACCCTAACAACTTTTAAATTACCCACTTACATTACTTATGTGCATGTTTCTAAAAATAATTTTCTCTCACTATTAACATAAGAGAAAAATTTGCAGTTTACAAAAATAATTAAAGACAAACTAAAGGACAATTCTTCAAATTTAAAAAAAAGAAAGAAAAAAAAGAATTTATTTAAAAAATAATTTCAAAATTTAAAATCATTAAAAACTTAATACCACCAACCCCCCAGAAAAAAGTTACTTATAAAAATTTAACGAGTTGAGGATAATCTGAATAAAGTAAAAATTAGAAATAGTAATCAGAATTAAAACAATTAATACAGATAATTTTGCCAGTATCTAATTGATATTTAAACAGGGAATTCATTTTTTTTCAAAATGGAATATGAATAATAAAAAGTAGTGTTTTTAAAGGATGGCTGCTTATTTTTACAAAAAGAGCAAAGAGGGCGTATTTATAGGGCAGGCAGGACGGGCTGCACTACTAAAAACGTTCAGAAATAACACTGAATCATCATCTGAAAAAAGTTATGATAAAAACACACTTAATATTAAAAAAAAATAAAAAGTCATGCTTATAAGAAGAAAAAAAACAGCGGAAATAAAAATATTTAGTTAGTTTGTGAGATTACTGTTTGACTGGTTTAACGCGAGTTTTTATTTCTTCACTTTTGTATTATTTTCTCAAGATTTTGTTCGAAAATTTTTGCTGCATCATCATATGGAAAATGTTCTATATATACTTTTTCATCAGCTATTACATTTATTTGGCTGAAAAATATCCGTATTTGTTTCGTTTTGACCGTTTCTACCGACATTTGCTTCATTTTCATTTGTCCGTTACGGAGTAGAAGATGTCGTCTTAACAAGGTATTTCTCCATCTTACATTCATGCACAAAAAATTTAAACGTTTTACATGAAGAAATCTTACCTACGGTGAACACGTGGTTGCAGAGAAATGTGTTCTGAAAGGGGTTCCAAGGTTTGGGGGGGGTGGAGTGGTGTTCTGCTGTTCGCACTGGTAAATAGGGAAATATGAAATGGTAAATAGGTGAGCTAGATAACAAGGACCGATGTTCAAAATAATGAAAGAGCAAGGAAGAAAAGTGAAACAAATTTTATTCAAAATGACAAAAGACGAAAATTTTTTCAAAATTCGTTCATTTTGAAATTGATTAACAGAGTGCGCGAATTACTCGCGTTAATAATTTTTTGCTGCGAGAAAAGAAAAAAATATACGAGACTCTCGCGCTGTAGTGAAAAAACTGCATTTAATATGAATGTAAACTTTTTATGGATGACTATTGATATTTGTCTTTCTAATGTACATATAACGTATATTTATATTGGTTTTTTACCTATAGAGGATATTTAAAAATTTTCAATATTTTTTCCATCCATATTTTCTCCATAGGAATAAAATCATTCTAATAACAAAGAATATTATAATTTTGTAGATATTTAGAACTATACATGCAGATGGTTTATTTTTCCATCTTACTCTGCTAAATTACATTATTCAATAGTATGATATTCCTACACATTGATAGAAACTACAAATCAAAATCTTAGGCCTAGGTTGTAGTAATAATCTTCAATGTCCTTAGTTTTTTCCCCTTTCATTTCATTAATTTTAAATCTCTTGAAATTTCCAATTTCTACAGATTTTTCAATAAACCTTGCCTTATGAAGTCATTTGTTCTTTCAAGCCTATTACTGAAAATTTAAAAAAAAAAAAAAATTGCAAAGCAAAAGTAAAATTAAAATTACATAAAAAATATTCATTTGTAAAATAACATTTCACATTATTTTAAATAATGAATAAAATTAGTCTATAAAATATGAAACAACTCAAGAATTCATTTTTGACCATAAAAACTTAGTTTAATCATGTAAAACTTAACAATGAAATGTGTTATCATGCAATCGCATAAGGCAAGCATGTAATAGTTTTGCCAAAATTTAAGAGAAATTTTCACTAATCAATAAAGATATATACCAGCTGCTGACTATAGTGTTTTATTCTTCAAGAAAAAAAAACTTTGAGTTTTGATCAGTTTTAGTAAATTGAAGAAATTAGAATTGTTGGATCACAAAGTCCTCATGTATCTTTCCGCATAGTAATCTGTGGCAGAATAATCTCCAAGTCTTGGCAACTTCCGGGCACCAACTCACGAGAAACTAAAGGAAAAACATTACTACAGAAAGGAACCAACTTGAAAAATATAACTTGTAGCCACTACCAGACAAATATCTATTTAAAAAATTTTCAAGTTTAAAATCTATTTAGCATCTTGGCAATTGTAATTGGCACAACAGATCACAATACGGAAACATCTAAAGTCCTCCATGTTACCAACAAATCAATACTTCTAGGGTTACTGAATTGGAGCTTGATCATTTTCTGGTTCAGGTCAAAATTATGATCAGTGGATAAATAAGTGTGTCCGACCTATAAACGGCTGACCCTGCGGCTAAAGTCGTATTCTTGGTCATAGATAGCGTCACTGAAAAACAAGAAACTTCCCATGCGAATGCACCCTCAGCTTTAAATTAGCTTGGCTTAACCATACAGACTTGCTGGTAATTGGCAAGTGACATTAGAAACAACAACAACAGAAGGTAGAATATTATAAAATTTGTGTAGTTTTCAGTATAATTTAGCTTTTTGGGAATACATTTACTATATACCCATATTTAAAAATGACCAATATCATTTCAAAAATATATTTCATTTAAGATTTAGTTCGAACATTTCTTCAATAATGAAAAATATCGTTTGCTACTTCTTTCTGGATTAAATTGACAAAGGAAAAATTTATAACAGAAGAAATCGAATTTATTTAAACTACTTCCCCCAAAAACGATTTATTTTCAATGTAAAATTCCTTAACTTTAAATTTGATTCACTCTATTGTGAATCAAAAATATTCAAACCGACACATAAAAATATTTGTTAAATATTTATGACATACATAAGGTGAAATGTTATTTTTTATTACATATTAACGAAGAAAAATATGATGGTATTTGAGACTAATAATTACATAAATTTTTTTTACACTCGATTACGATCAAAATGGAAAAAAAGACATTTTCAGTGTATTCTACGTCATGAAAATAGTAGGTAAATATGGAACTAGAGCCATAACAAATGGACGATTCAATAACATGATATCAATGTTAAAAACATTAACTACAAGCATACCCATAAAAATAAATAAATATTAGAAAGTTGTGTAGTAAAAGTCGAATCAAGGAAGAAATCAGAATGTCTGAACTTGTATAAAATGATTCGTTGTTTGTAAACATTCAAAATTTCAAAGTTTAGCTGTGATCGATCTTCTTACCAATCGAAATCGAGCACCAAAATAAGCTCAGATATGCTTAGTTGGTGACTATGTCATCATAAGGGAACAAACTCGATGTGAGAAATGCACGAACAGGAACCTGATTGGTGAAATTTATTTACCTGCGAAAAACTTGCCAATCAAGTTCGAGTAAAATTTAAGATTTTTTTCATCACTGACAGCAGTAAGTACCGGGTGTGTGACCATTTTGTTCGACGCATTCTTACGGGATGCGATTGAGAGTTTGCCTGATTGGAGAAACTAGAATTTTCATCGGATCATTTTCAAGCAGGTTCTCATTTTCGTCAGTAGGGTTCTCATTCGCATACGCTCTATTTTTTCTTTCTTTATGGATGGTGTTTTCTGCACTAGGATGCTGTTGTTCAGTGGCGTGCCAACTTCTTTTTGATTGGGGGGGCGAGCCAATTCTAAGTTAATTTGTCCGATCTAATATTATAAGTTGTATTATTTTAATGTTGTAATTTATCTAATTTTAATTATTCATTATTATTTCCATTGCTTAGGATGACTATGATTTAACTATTACATTCACACCAACAAATTAGATAACAAAAAATGATTTATCAATTGTAAACAAATTTTTAAAAAAGTGTATTAAAATTTAACTAATTACTTTTGTAATTTTGCTTCTTTAAATTCATT